TAATTCTAGATCATTATTTAAAGAATACTAGCAAAAAGTCAAAACTGATTCAAATTTTTCTCCTTTTTTCTCATTACCATATTCCTCTACACTTTTAAAAAGAAACAAAAACAACAAATTTAAAGATAATTAGCCCAAAAATGACGAACTTAAAGATGCAAAGTTTGAAGATAATATATTAGCTTTTAGTTTGGAAGACATTATTGTGAGAATTTTTTTTTTTTCATACTTAATGTCAATTATCAAGTTACTAATATATGCACGTTCGGGGTTGGGATCTCGCGGCCTAGTGGTCTAGGCACCCAACCCTCCACGAGCGGGTTTCTGGTTTAAGTCCTAGTAGATACATTTACCTACGAATATTTGGAAATATCTGTCATGGGAAGTTCAAGTAAATACAAGTCTGGATTAGGAATTTCCGGAAAGAGGTCCATTGTAGAGTAGTTGGCACTACATGTAACAGGGGTTGTTACAGAAGGTTCTATTACACAAAAGTTTGTGTGTATAAATCCACGATTAGCAAAGTAGCACCAACAACCCCAAGGTGGAATTGGGGATCTTGTTTGGAAGGACGACTAGATAGTAACTAAAATTGGAAGTAGTAAGAAATATAGTGAACACAAGGGGACCTGTGATAAAGAATTGGCCTTACCAGATTTGGAACACCTCTGGCACCCATAATACTACTAGATTAAACAGGATTTTCTTATATAGAGCAAAGTTGGCAAGTGAAAACTTGGGATATACTTAAAACAGACAAGACACGGCAAGGTCATACCCAACTGAAAGTACTTGTCTAGTCACCGGGTCATGTGAGCTGCCTTAGTTGTACATTCTTTGGCTACTTCGGTAGTATGACTAGGGGAAGATCCTAGGATGAGATTTGAAAAAAGAAACAAGTATGAAACAGAACACAAGAACACCAACTTTAAAATACCAATATATAATACTAGAAGTAGTACAATATGTACTCTGAAAAACTCGGTTAGAAGTTTCGACACCCATAACCTGTGAGACCCACCAATTAGGGGAGTATCTGTTATCAAGTCCTGCATGCATATTATTAACACTATACGTAATAAGGAAGGTTGTGCTTGAGATATGAACTGGGTTACGGCAGCATTACAAATAATGGCTTGAGATACGAACTTAGTAACGGCAAACAACATGTACTATACTAATTTGGAAGTAGACGTGAGGTTATGCTTGCCTGGTGCCCCCTAGTGGGATCTGTAACGGATACCGCACTGGAACCATATTGGGAGTGTAAGGTTGTTAGTATGAGAAATGTGGAAAATATATTAGAGTTAGAATAGGATATTTAGTTAGTGGTATACAAAATCCAGGTAATACATGAGTGAGACATGGACAGCTCTGGTAGGTATAGATCATAGATAATTAGTCTAAGCCACTGTTCTATTAATTGTTATAAAAATGTATATAATTAATATACGTATATACTTAATAAATAACATGAGGCAAGATCTCACCTTAAAAAAAAAAAAAAAAAAACCAAAAATAATTAAAAATATAAAAAAATAATTTAAAAAAACATATAAAAAAAATAAAAACATTATAAAAAAATAAAAAAATATAAAAAAAATAATTTAAAAAATATATAAAAATAATTTAAAAAATGTATAAAAATAATTTTAAAAACATATAAAAAAAATTTATAAAATTAAAGAAGTAATTTAAATTAAAAATATATAAAAAATAATTTGAAAAAATATATAAAAAATTAAAAATAATTTAAAAATAATAATTTAAAAAATATATAAAAAAAGAAAATAACTAAGACTACACTAGTGTATACACACAGGGTATTAATTTATTGATTTGCAGATCTGTGTAATAGATAAATTTATAAAAAAACTACATAATATTAGAGTTAGAGTTAGAGTTAGAAGTTAGAAGGTTAGGGTTAGGGTTAGAGAGTATTTTATACTAAAATTTTGTGTAGAATATTTTTTGTTAGAACCTTCAAAGTAGTTTCATAAGCAAAATTTTGAGAAATTTTGAGTAATAACAATACCCCGTGTGTACACACTAGTGTACAAATAGTAATTCTAATAAATCAAATGTATAAAAAAATAAAAAAAATATAAAAATATATAAAAAAAATAATTTAAAAAATGTATAAAAATAATTTAAAAAACATATAAAAATAATTTAAAAAATATATTAAAAAAATTTAAAAATTAAAGAAGTAATTTAAAATAAAAATATATAAAAAAATAATAAAAATAATAAAAAAGTAATTTAAAATAATAAAAACCTACTTCAGGTTTATTTGAACCCACGTCAGATCCATTTGAACTCATGTCGAGTTTATTTGAACCCACACCAGGTCTATTTGACCTCACATTGGTTCATGTTGGTTCATTTGAACCCATATTGGGTTCATTTGAAATCATATTGAGTTTATTTGAACCCACTCCGGCCCATTTGAACCACTTCAGGTTCATTTGAACTCTCTTGGGTCTATTTGAACCTACTTGGGCCTATTTGAACCCATGTTGGGTCCATTTGAACCCATGTCAGTTCTATTTAAACCCATGTTGGGTCTATTTGAACCCACACCGGGTCTATTTAAACCCATGTCAGGTCTATTTAAACCCATGTTGGAATTATTTGACCCTACGTCAAGTTCATTTGAACCCACTTCGGGTTTACTTGAACCCACTTCGGGTTCATTTGAACCCATGATGAGTTTATTTAAATATAAGATAGGTTTATTTAAATCTAAACTAGATTATTTAAACCCCAAAAAAGAAAATTAAAAACCTCATATTGGGGTAATGCCTGGGCCCTGAGAGCTGATATAATTTAGGTCTAAGAATTAGAAAAAAGTTAGAACCTCAGACCCGAGGCAACACCCAGGCTCTGAGAGCTAATATAATTTAAGCCTAAGAATTAAAAAAATTAGAACCTCATACCCGGGGCAACGACTGGGCCTAAGAGCTAATATTTATACAGATTCCCAATCTGTAATTTCCAAGTACAATAAACTCCTCACTCTATATCTAAATACTTTAAATTCAATTCTTGGCCAATCTGGCATACTCTTATTAACTCAATCAAAGCATATAATATTGACTTAATTTTTCATAAAGTTTAAGCCCACAGTGATGACACTTTCAATAATCTAGCTAATTACCTTGCTAATAATCATACTTTCTCTCCAATCCTATTGTTTAACTATTCTAATATATATAACCCTTCTTTCTTTCTTCAATGAAAAAATTTCTTGATTGATAGCCCTTCTAAACGCTTCATTAAAAATATCTGCAATGCTAATACTATTTCTATATGGTCCTTCCAAAGACATACTGATAAATGGTCACACTTTTTCAACCTTATTGACTGGAATTCTACATGGCTCTACTTTAACAATAATTACAAATATTCTTACAATTTTACCAATTCTAAACCTAGTTACCTCAAATTCTTTAAAATTAAAATGTTACTTAATAGTTTACCTACATACTTTCATTTTCATTCTATTTCACCTAACTTATTTCCATCCTCTAACTGTTTTCAATGCAATCTTCCTAATTCTTCTTCTCATAGGTATTTCTGTTCTTACTATAATCTCTTATTCCAAATTATTAATTTCTCTATTTTAGAAACTATTTTAAATGCCAATCTTTATTTAGCTTCTTACGAACTTAATTACTTGATATATACAATTTCATCTCATCCTTCCTTCTCTCTTCATCCTTCTACTCTCTATCCATACTCTTTTTATTCTACTTTTAAAGGTCTTATTCCTTCTCTGCTCATTCAATGTAAAGTACTATTTGATATATCTTATTCAATAGCTTTGCAGCTAATTATCAAAATTTCTAACCAAATCTATGAACAAATATGGAAATCATACTGTATTAACTTTTCTACTTGGAAAAAGCACACCAAATATCTTCCAATTCTACCTCTATTCAAGTTAGTCAATAATTTTCTATTTGTCTTTATACTAGAACTCGCAATACTTTCACATATAATTGTCTATACAACTTATCTAATCAACTATATTCTGATTTCTTTTCTTGTCCCCCAGCCAGGCTTGCTAAACTTAAATTCAATATCTGGTCCACTTTGTGGATCCTGTTCAGTATTCTCACTAATTATATATTAACTATTCAAATCTAGGTAAGCTTTGACTACTCTAGTAGGTTTAGGTTGCAAATAAATTAGTCTGAGCTTTTATTCTTGCATGTAATTTATATTTATTTATTTATATATGAATTAAGTCTTTATTCAGTTTTATCTCTTTATGATTACTTATATAAATTACTTAATAAAGGTATGAGCAAGGCCTCACCTTTTAATACAAAAAAAATAAATAAAAATAAACATCATTTTATAAAATTTAATATAAAAATTAAGAATTGACATGATAGATTTGGTAAATACATGTTTAGTAGCACAGGATCAAGATCAGGTTCATGTAACTTATACATTGTATTATTAATTATTATTATATAAATAGAACAATGGTCTTTAGTAATTAGTTAGTTTGGAGATTAGACAAACAGAATAATCTTTAATAATAAAGAAATGTCTAACAATAAACCTTGTTCTTAGTAAATAAACTATATCTTAGTGATATTGTATTGGTGATGGTAGTATCTGGTACGATACTTCAATCATCATGTAATTAGCCAAGCGAGTAATATTTAATAGTAAAGACTTGCAAATATACAGTAGTTTAGATAACTCTATGACAAGAATTGAGCCATAATAGCTATATATTGTTTTTTCATAACTACAATATATACAATTAATAATCTGCTTTTCTTTAATTAAAAAGATAATACAAATATTAATTTTTCAGATTGTTTAGTTGATTAGAAAGGTAATAATAAAATTAGCAAATCTCAAGATAGTCAAAAAAGTGATTTATCAAATTTAGATAAAAATATTAATTGTTAACTATAAAAAAAAAAAAAAAAAGAACTCTCATCTATGTAGTCATATTTTACAGCCAAAGAGCCAACATGCAAAAATGTAAAACAAAATTTGGAAATAAAACAGCATTCTCAATATTAGCGCTATATCTAGAATTACATAGTATTATAATACCAAAACAACCTAAAAATAAATTTGCATATAAAGATTATTATGCTCTTTATACAAAAGAAAAACATCAAGAGTATAATAATGTGATTACAAAATAGATATAATATGATTTCAGCCTTTTAGTATAATTAAATATAAAAAATAATAAGAGATTATTAAAAAATTTGATCTGTATTATAATAATTATACAGAAAAGAATCAAATTATAGTTAGACCTCTCTATAATCACAAGTTGGTTGCACCTGATTTTGGTAATTATATAGAGGTATGAAGTGATACAAATCTTTAACGATCACAGAAGCCTATAATTGGATTTTAATGAACTTGGGCTCATTAGAATCATCTCATTGAGACAAACATTTTAGTGGTGGTTTTATTTAAATTGGACTACTGCATCAAAAGATATTTGCCATCAAACCTTTAAAAATTTTTAATAGAATATTTTAAATAAGCATGAATATGAATATTGGCCAACCAGATTTTATAATCTATATTTAGTCAAATTTATAACTATAAAGAGGTTTTTACTAATAAAATTGATAAAAAAATCCAAATTTTTTTGTGATAGTAATTATAAGTAATTTGTGACTATAAAAAAGTTTTTTTACTATATTCAAGTTCGTTATATAATATTAAGTACTTATATAGAGGTGTGACTATATGGGGTGTGACTATAGAGAGGTCAGACTGTATAAATTTATTTAAATAAATAAAAACAAATAAAATTAATACTTTTACAAGTTTTTAGAAAAGTATTATTTATTCTGACATGTGGTCTGTCTCAAATTGTTTTGCATTTCTTAGTTTAACAATTCATTATATTAATTCTTTTTAAAAACTAAGTAGTTTCTTTTTAGATATTATTTCAATAAAAATGTGCTATATAGCTAGTGCTATTATGAATATTCTTTATGAATTTGGCCTAGAAAAAAAAACTTTAGCATTTACTACAAACAATGCTTTGTCTATGATTGTTTGTAATAAATTAATAATAAAAGAACTTGAACAAGAACTCAATAATCTTGAATTTTCATATTATAGATGTGTTGCTTATATTTTAAATCTTGTAGTTGATTGTGAGTTTGAACATGTTAATAATTTGATTATAAAAATAAGAGTATTAATGTTATATATTAAATCATTAAAGCCAATTTGAAATGCTCTAAAAGGATTTTGCAATATAAAAGAAATTTCCTATCTAGTACCTAAAATTAACACTAAGACTAAATGTAACTCCATCTATTATATGCTTATAAAGTTAAAAAAATTAATCCTGCATTAAATTTATATGTAGCTAATGATAAAGCATTCAAAGAAAAGTATCTAAATAAAGAAGATTATAATAGTATTAATTTAATAAGAACTTTATTTTTTTAAAAAAAATAAATAAAATAAATATAAAAAAAAGATACAATCATTTTTCTTGGACCAATAGAATGTGCCACCTGTTTTTTATCTACTTCAAGCTACCCAATACATAGTGACATTAGATTTGTTATTCTTGGTATTTAAGAGCACTTATCCCAATATAAAAATGATAACAATTTTTCAAAAGCTCGCAATGTATCTAAAACTCAAAAGTTATTGGTTATTATTTGACAAATCAACACAAATCTCAGCATTTCTAGATCCATGGGTTAAAATATCTGCATTTAGGACTGAAGAAGAAAAAAAAATAAAGTGTTTAATTTAGTTTCAGGATTAAATAAATATTTATCTAAAACATCTTAGCAAATAATTCTTACTGATAATTTAACCAATGATAGAGATTATTTTTGTAATCTTTATTCTCTTGATACATCCTTTTCTTCTACATACAGTTTGTTGAAGACAAACTGTATACATGATAAAATCAAGAAATATTTTGCAGTACCTTTACTTGGCCATGTTGATCCCCTATGTTGGTGGCAAACACAACATTCTGAGTAACCAATTTTAAGCAACATTGCCCTGATTACTTGTAAGTACAAGCAACAAGTGTTGCTTTGGAGCAAGCTTTTTCAATCGCTAGGAAAACAATTTCAGATGAAAGGTGCAAGTTGGAAGAAGAGATGGCAAGAGCAATTCTTTGCTTTAAGTACAGTAGAAATTCAGCGTGCAAATGTTAACATTTCAAACCAAAAGAAAAAAAATAGGTGCTAAATTTTTTTTATTAAAGTATTGTATTAAATTTTCTTTTTCGGCTATTACAAACAAACGAAAAAGTTCATAAAATAAATAAAATAAATATTTCTATTTGCTATGCTATATGTCTATACGTTTGAACAGTGCAGAAATGTGGGTTTCAAGATTTTAGATCGATATAATGGATTAATTTTATTGGTTTGTGGTCACATGTTATACCTGAATTTCGGTTAACGAAGGACCGGTTTTTGGACTGGGACCGGACTAAAAATATTACAGTTATTATCATAATTCCTGAAACACCTGATAAAAATTTGCCGAATGATTGTTTGGCCGATTCGGTTAAGTAAGTAATTTCGGCATGGCCCATTATATAATTAAAATAATAAAAGCTATTATGACCAATTATTATAACATAATGTCA